ATATATAGAAACAATTTATATTAATTGTGATTAAGCATTATAATGTTCTGTAACATTGATATATATTACTGATTTACACTATGCCGTGCATTTTTACTAGGGTTAAAAGAATACTAATTTATAGATTAAAATCCTTTTACAGGTGCAGCATACAATATTATAAAATAAGACAAGAATGATAATTATTGATAGTAGTTTTATTAATTATTTTTGTCTATAGCTAATATTATTTTTGTTTTTATTGTGTTATTTATTATAAAGATAAACTTATTACATTTAAAAATTAATGCGCTCCTGTGTACTTTTTTATAACAGGACTTATTACATTACTACGTAAAATTATATAAAGGGCCACTCTGTTTATAATAGAATTGATAAATTTCTATTTAATTAAAATTATATTATTAAAAAAATATATTTAATGTTAATAATATTGAGAATTATGTAAAATATTATACGCTCCATTTGTTGACATGCTAACATGTATTTTTTTATGTTTACACATATTATTTTCTTGGTTTACATCATCATATATATTTTTGTTCCTTATTATTCTTTGGCAAACATATGGGCTACATGCGGTAAACTAATTAAAAATTAAAGTAAATATTTGAATTATTAACACAATATTATATATTACAAGTTATGTGTTTATTAAATTGTTCATAAATAATTATTTAATTATGTAAATATATTTAGATGATATTCTAATTAACCTTATATGAAACAGCTAAAAAAATGGATATTATTAATATTATAGCAAATGGAGTTATTACAAAAACCTTTATATTAGCTGTTTGAAAAGAAGGCAACATTTGATATTCAATATTAGGACAATCAAAAGTTTTCATTTTATCATTATATCGAGTTCTAAATTCGTCTAATTCTTTGCAAAAATCGATATATTTATTTAATTCACATTCTTTCTCGTATTTCATATATATCATTGTGCATTTTTTAACGCACTGGCACTTGTCACTATTAGCACATTCACTATTTGATTTATTAAGATTACAGTTCATAACATATAAATCATGCAGCTTCCCCAATATATCATCAGTAATTATTTCCTTATAATCATTACAAATTTTCGCATCCAAAGCTTCATATGCCTTCAGGAATTCATCATAAATCGTTTTGATATAATAATTATATTTATTCTTAAAACCTTCCACATATATCCAGTAATACATGCATATGCAATATGTGTCTAAACCTGTTATAGGGCGTTTTGTTTTCCAATTATCTAAATAATCAACAGATATAGGACAATTATTTTCATAATAATTATTATCAATGCTATCATGTTTAATATTTGTAGATGTACAGTAACTACTTCCTATGCTACCATGTGTGATCTGCCCAATTCTACTTTTTTCTTGGTCAAATAAATGTACTTTTTTATACTAACAAGAAAAAAGAAAAATATAACATAAGAAAACATGGATTAATGTATAAATATATAACACATTTAATTAGGTAAAAAGAAAAAATTATAATTATAAAGAAGTAAGAATTATAAAAAAGAAAAATATACAATGTTATCTTTTCTAAGAGGCATAATTTGTATTTTTTAAAAATTAAAAAAAACAAATAACTTATATACAATTAAAAGTGTAAGACACTATCAATAAAGAAATATATATGACACAACAAATGAATATTAGTTTTCATGAATATTTATTTTATTATAATTGTTTTGTAGTGCTCATTTATACATAATACATAGTTCTGGTTATAATAAATAGATAAAAATATAAATAATTGTTTAAACTTAATTTAACTTAACAAGAATATAGCAACATATTTAAATATTATATTTTAATTAAATAACAAAAATATACATTATTATATGATTAAATATAACGCGATCTTATAGTATAATATTAAAAATGATTATTATCTTATAGAGTAATCTAATTATGGTGTTTTGAAGGCACAAAATATTATACATTTATCTAAATGTTGTTTAGCTTTTTGTAATATATGAGATGTGTTTAAGCATTATTCTTCTAAAAAATATGAAATTAAATATGTATTCTTTTATATTCTTGCAGAATAAATCATAGATATTGTATTTATTTACGATAACTCTATTGTATATATTAATATATGTACATATTATACACAAATTATCTGTATGAATATCATGTAATTTAAATGATTACATAAATGAAATAGTATAAATAGCATGTATAAAATCTTGATAAATACAATTTTTAATTGTTGACAATATGACATATAAACAGTATTTTTTAATAATGTTTTAATATTATACAATTATAATCGTAATAAATTTTTAATTTTGTACAAACTTTTATGAATATGTGTTAATTTGTTTTTGTAAAAACCATTATATATTATGAGAGAGATAAAATAAAAAATATAAAAAATTATTCATTAAATATGTTTCATTATTCAAAAATATAAGTTATTGTGTCATATATATGAGTATAAACATAAAAATTATATGTAATATGTGTTATAATTAAATGATTAATGTATGATGTTATTTGTCTTTTATCAATATTAAGTCAAAACATAACATTATAATATATTAGAGTTATACTTATTCAGATTTATTTCATTAATTATAGAATTATTAAGTATTCATATATTTATTTTTCTTTAATTGAAACAGTCAAATAACAGATATAAATATTTTTTTTAATTAACTATTTGAGAAGTATACGTAATCATGAACTATTATACATAAAATATAAATACCACACGAATATAATTATATTATTGTAGTTTTTTAGCTTTTCTGTAAAAGAAATTCATAATACATAAAATATGTAATATGATAGTATATGTATTAGCAACATTAACGCATATATATGCTTCATTTTACGTTTTTATTCATATAAAGTAGATGAGGAAGAATATAAATTAGAAAAAAAATTATTTATATTCTACTTATTCTTTAGTTAACATATTATTTGTTACACAATTATCTTAGTGAATTATTGTATATGTATAATATTTAAATTTAATAATTTTTCTAATTATTTTAATATGATTAATTTTCTATTATTTTTTATGTTATAATAATTTTTATATAATATATACTATTTAAATAACAAGAAAGTAATTCTTCTTTATAATATTTATTCTATTATTCTAATAATTTATATTATTGTAATTCCAATATAATTTGGGCACTTTTTTTGTTAATATAAAGACTAAATCTTGATAAAACAATATAAAGTTATCAATTTTAAAATTGTACGCAGTTATATTTTTTTCTAATATTATGTTTAGTATAAATACATATATATTTTCTTTTGTGCATAACATTTTCATTAGTGCAAATAAAGAACAGCATCAATTAATTTATTAATGATCTTAACTCTAATATATAATCTAGAAAATAACCTAGATAAATAAAAAAAATATATAAATATGCTAAACATTAGTAAAAAAAATACACATACTGCGATTTTAAGACACAAGTTATTTTTTTTTCAAAAAGAAATATATCTAATTTATATGAAGAAAACTTATTATAGCCAAGTAATAATATAAAGAAAATTATATAACAAAGTATGAAAATAAATATTTCATATAGTATGAAGGAAAAATAAGTTTCAGTAGTTATATATTTATGTAATTTTTTTAATATTCAAATTTATAAGTACATATTATTTTACAATAGTTTTATATTTTAATTTTTGATATAAATATATTTTGATTTTATATACAATGTTATAGGCCCTATAAATATGTGAACAAAGAAATATAAATGTACTAGTTATATATTAGATATGGTAATAACATATTTTTTCATTTCTGAATGTGTTACTACAATTTATTAGGCAAAAAAATACTTTAATTCATTATAACATGTGCCTAAAGAATTGATATAATTTATAAGATGTCAAATAAACTTATGACCTATGTTAGCATGGCTTATAATAAAAGATATATTATGAATATATACATATATGAATGTTATGAAATTCCATTCTTTAATTTTTTAATAGAAATTATAATAATAAAGTAACATAGTAATTAAGGAACATCGTTACAAAAAATTCATACTGAATTTGTTATATAATAATTGTAATATTAATATAAATAATATTTTAGTATTACATTATTTAATATTCAATCATGTGTGCTATAAGCAAATATTTATATGATACAACAATTATATATTTGAGCATAAAATTAATTTTTTTAGCATTTAGAAATTTAAAATAAAATATAGTTTAAAACTCATAGGCAAATATTATGGTGAAAAAATAAAACTAGTATCATGAATCAATATAATTCATTGTACCATAAAAATATTATATTTTTTTTTTTTTGGAATTTATATATACACAGAAATAGTATAAAAATAAATATATTTTTGTAACAAAAATATGATTTCATTACATTTATTATTTTCATTTTTTAATAATCATTAAAATCAATATAAATATAATTATTGATTTAGAAATTTTGTCATATGTTTCTTTAAATTCATACTTATCCTTATATATTATTGTCTTAAATAAGTATCTACTAACTTAATCAATGAAAATAATTCATTATATTAAAAAAATTACGCATTCATTCTATTTACAAAATAACGTACATATGATCCATTAAATTTATATAATGTATTTTGAGATTTTGACGTTATTATTTTAACATTTATGTTTTTTTATATATTCCTTTTTAAAATTATATGGTATTTATCTATATTAATTAATTATGTAGAAGCTCTAAATTAAAGAGTATAATAATTTAATTGATATAAGTATATATATTCTTATCTTGATATATACCCATAATTTTTAAAACATATAAACAACATTATACACTTCGTAAATGATTTTTATATATGCATATGTTATAAATATTTATAATCATTTTTCTTAATATTATATAATTTATATACAAATTGTATGAACACATATTAAATGAAAGATATTATTATATGGATTTTTTATATATTCTCTTATAAGTTATATATGCTTTAGAATAATATTATTGATTTTAATACATTTCCCATAATATACACATTAATAAGTAAAATTTGATCAAATATACATAGAGATTATGAATAAAATATTATATATTTAATTATGCTTACTATAGAAAACCTTAGTATAATGATAATATACCAGGAATTGATAAAATGGGCATGCGAATAATTTTATTGTGATAAAAAGAATGATGATCATCAAGGGGATATTTAAAAAAAGCATTCTAATAACATTTATCTCTAACTTAATTATACTATAACAAATTAATTTCCTATTATAATATTATACAAATGGTTCTTATTATCACTTTCATTCTAACAGAATTTATTAATCTCATTTTACAAAAAGGGATATTTCTATTTAAATATATTTATGCATAAACATATATTAACAAAAAAAAAAAAAAATAAGACAAAAAATATTATTAACACAAAAAACAAATATTATAATGAAAAGAAACAAGTAAATTTATAATTACGATTTAAATTCTTACATGCAGAAAAATAGAAATATGTATTTAAAGTGTATGAATATGATAAAAAAAAAATTGTTGGGAATAAAATATGTTACACCATAAAATTAATATGCATAAGTAGGAATATGCATAAAAATAGAAATTATATATAAGTATATTTTTGTTGAGAAAAAAAAGATAAATCTTTTTATATAACAAAATTTTGAATATATTCGAAATTAGTATAAGGAAATTATGTTTGTATTTATCAATTATAATCATATTAATTATATTTATTCTCCTATGTACTAATATGCAATTCCATGGATTTTGAATAAAACACTTCAACAATATCTCTCGTTTTAATATAAGGAATCATTATATAACTGTATAAAAATGATTCCTACATTTATGTATATAATTGTTAATTAATAATTTGAAAATCTCTTATTTAAATATTACCAATTTTTCGTATTATTATTAATTTATTTGAAAATTGAACATAATAACTATATTGTTGTACGTTTTATGTGTAATATTAAGGATTATAATTATTTTCTTTGATTCCTTTATGTGTTATAGCTGTGTGATATTCATATAAAATAAATAAATAAAAATTATAATAAAATATTATATATGTCAATAAAAATATTTTTTAAAATTGGTTATACTTCTATAAATGGAAGAAATATATTTTTTTTGCCATAAATTCACTAATTAAACAAAACATATTTTAATATCATAATAATACTATAATATAAATAAAAAAATGTTTTATAGTTTTTTTTCTACTATCACATGATAGTATAATTTTATAGATATAACTGCTTAATGTATATAATATTTTCATTATGTGATTAATTTCAACCATGTCGATTTTATTTTATGTTATTAATATATTATATTCATATTTGTAAAATTAATTCATTTAATATGGACATATACGTTTCTGAGTTTTTCAATAAGAGATTAATAGGCCTATTTTATATTTATTACCTTTAAAATAAAAGTATACATGGTCAATATATTTTATATTATTATAATATTAAGTATTACTTTATATTTTATAAATTGAATTTAAAATTATTTTTTTTTTTGATAATAAATTCGTTGTACTGTATTGATTAT